TGCCTACCATGAGTGGCATGCCTTGCTTGTCATTTTACAGATGATTTCATTTAGTCTTAATTACCATGTATTATTACTCAGTTTTTACGTATGTCCTGCTTTGTCATCTAAATTCTATTAAACTAAAAAGATATTTGTTGTTATATGGGAAAAAAAAAGGGTTAATTTTGCATTGCCATTACAGAGCTTCAGGGGAAGCTGAGAATGAAATCAGCCGTTTAAATAAAGCTGGCCTGGCTGAGTATAATCTGGAAGAATAAGGGATTTTTTTTCCTTCAAAGCCCTCCAACCTCTATTGTTGAGATTTTTGTCATCATAGAAGCATAGAATATTAATGATTTTCTAGTCCAAATTCCTCATCTAATAGCTAAGAAAACTGAAATGCAGAGCGGGTAAAGTGCCTGTCCAAGGTCAGACAGTGAGAAAATGGCAGAGTCAAAAATAAAACTGAGGCCTCCTGACTCTTAGTCAAGAGATCTTTTACTACACCACTGTGAAATTATAGCCCTCATAGATCTGGCAAAAAATGGAAAATTTACAAACAGACATTTATCAAATACTGTCCTAAGGCTGGAGCTCAGGCAAAAAACTATAAACAGTCAACACACTTGGTCCACTTCTCACAAATTGTTTTATAAGCACACACCTTGTTTAAATTACAGCAAAGAATGCTTGCTCTTAACAGTTCCGGTCTCCCCAGTTTATTCCTCTTCCTAAGCTTTCCTTCTCTTCTCTGCCTTGCACCCCTGACCTCATGCCAAGAATGAGACTGATAAGTAGGACTCTGCAATATGAATCAGGAATACCTACAGCCTTAGACAGGTAAACAATCAACGCCACTAGGAGATCCCCACCACCCTAAGAGGCTGCAGGAAGCTGCCCCCATCCAGACTCCTTCAAAGAAGGAGAATTCCAGAGGCCATAGCACTTTCTGCTTGTGGAGGATTCCTCTCTGAACATCTAGTCAGTGAATCTGGGGCATCACAATGCCATCATTCTTTCTGAGATGAGCACTGTCCCAATACTTTGAAAATGATCCACAGCTCTTCATTTATGTTCTTCCCTCATAGATAGAATACACACTCATTATCTGGCAGGAAGAGTGGGTTTTCCCATCCAAGCAAGTGACGTAGAGAATGCCAACCTATTGGTATGAAGCTAAGGGGTAGTATTCGGTAAGTACTTTTTGGAAGGTGAAGCTGAGTGTACTTGTGTGGCAGAAAAAACAGGGATTGTTGAGGCCAGGTAGACCTAGGTGCAAATCCCAGCGCTGCCAGATACCAGCTGTGTGATTTAGGACAAGGTTCTTGAATCTCAGTGTGCTTATCTGTAAAATGGAGTTAATAATTAGTTTCCTCCTCCTAGGGTTGTGAATATTAAATGCTGTTGTAAAAACCTTTGCAGAGTGCTTAGAATATAGTAGGTACCCTCTAAATGTTTATTCCTTTCTGTCTACCTAGTAATATAAAGCTTATAACAATCTTTAGCTTAGGAAGAATAATTGTGAATGGTCCAATGAGGAGAGAGAAGGATTTGTCCCTAAGTCTATTTTTATCCCACCTTACACAGGATCATTCTCTTATTCATTGACCTTTGTCATGAGGCTTTGACCTTCCTCCTGAATAATAAATGTGCAATGATTCTGTTAACATTGGCCAACCAATGAGGCCTGCCCCAATGGTCATAGAATCAGGAATCCTTGCAGAGGCTGGGTAATCAGTATTGTAATCCCTATTGCACTCTGCCTGGAGCATTTTCTCTGCCTGATAGACATCATGTGGACAAGGTCCAATCCAGAACACACCACCTGGGATAAATTATTTACAACCCTGTCTCACCTTAGAAGTGCACCTAATCTGTTATCTGATTAACAGTCAACTATAAACCTGGAGATTTTTTTTTTTAAAGAAGCAAGCTTAGTGAAAGTAGGAGAAAATGTTGAAAAGGCCATTATGCAGAACATATTAATCCACACAACTTTTTTCCCTTCTCCTTTTTATAGATATTTTACAGTTATACCAAATAGAGGGAAATTATGCAGTTATAGTGCTTAGAATCTGGGAAGGACAGCAGACAGAACAATCTCCCAAACTTTCTTTCAGTACTGAGTCTCTGAAGCCATGGTTAAAAACAAAAAGCTGTTAAAGAGCTGTGAATAGTGGTTAAGCACTCTTCACTGACCTTTGGCAATATATAGCAATGAAACACAATTGACAATTTTGTAATTCTCTTAACTCAACTTTCAGAATGTTCCAAATACATTGAAAACTGTAAACCAATATATCTAAGAATCCCAGGGAACCCCAAGGAGCAAAAACACAAAGAAAACTACACTGAGGCACTACAGAATCAAATTTCTGAAAACCAGTGATAAAGAGAAAATCTTAAAGATAAGATTGATCACTGGTTTCTCATCAAAAACAATGCAAATCAGAGAGTGGTGGGGCAACATCTTTAAAGCACTGAAAGAAAAACACTGTCAACCTAGAATTTTATATCCAGTGAAAATGTCCTTCAAAGATGAAGGCAAAATAAAGACATTTCAGAAAACCAAAGCTAAGAGAATTCATCACTAGTGAAATTGTACTACAAGAAATGCTAAAGGAAGTTCTTCAGGCTGAAGGAAGGCTGATACCAGATGGACACATGAATTTATGCAAAGGAATGAAGAGTATCAGAAATGGTAAATATGTGGGTAAGTATAAAAGACGTTTTTCTTGTTTATAATGTCTTTAAAAGATAAATAACTGCTTAAATGAGAATAATAATAGTGTATTATGGGATTTATAACATTTGTAGAAGTAGAATATGAGCATAATAGCATAAAGAATGGAGGAGATGGGATGGAAGTATATTGTTATAAGATTCTTACATTATATGTTAAATGCCATAACATTTAAAGGTAGACTGTGATAAATTAAAGATTCATATTGTAAAGCTTAGAGCAACCACTAAAAAAATTAAAAAGGTATAGCTAATATGTCAATAGAAGAGAGAAAATGGATTCATAAAAAATAATCCAAGAGAAGACAGGAAAAGAGGTAAAAAGGGAGAAAGAGCAGATGGGACAAACAGAAGTGTAGGACTACTATTGTTTCTGATATCTTATACCTATCAGGTAAGAAGGAAGACCGTAAAACATCTTGTATTTACTTCTCAAAATTAGAATGAGATAAAGAATGAGTAAGTAGAGGCCGGCCCCATGGCCGAATGGTTAAGTTTGCACACTCTGCTTTGGCAGCCCAGGGTTTCACCAGTTCGGATCCTGGGCATGGACCTATCACTGCTCCTCAAGCCATGCTGAGGTGACATCCCACATAGCAGAACTAGAAGGACCTACAACTAGAATATACAACTATGTACTGAGGGGCTAGGGGAGAAGAAGAAGAAAAAAGATTGGCCAACAGATGATAGCTTAGGGCCAATCTTTGTTTGTTTGTTTTTGTTTTTTTTGAGGAAGATTAGCCCTGAGACAACATCTGCTACCAGTCGTCCTCTTTTTTCTGAGGAAGACTGGCCCTGAGCTAACATCCATGCCCATCTTCCTCTACTTTATATGTGGAACGCCTACCACAGCATGGCTTGCCAAGTGGTGCCATGTCTGCACCCGGGATCTGAACCAGCGACCCCTGGGCCACCAAAGCGGAACGTGCGCACTTAACCACTGTGCCACAGGGCCGGTCCAGGGCCAATCTTTAAAAAAAATGAATGAGTAACTAAACATGATATCCAGACTCCTACATAGAATTCAGTAGCTTTTGTTGATGATAACATCAGCTACATTCTGATTCATTCAGCATTGAACAGTAGCTTAAGCCATTAAAAACTTTAAAAAACTAAATTAGGGCAATTAACCATGTTATCAAGGACCTGGGCTTTTAAAACTCTTCCACTGTGCAGTCATCCTTAACTCATCCCATGAACATAACAGTGCTGTGATAGCTCCAAGCATCATGTCCTCACAATCAGCATCCCAAGCAGGGAAAAAAGGTCAGGAGCAAAAATCTTTGTCCTAATGAGGCTCTGTCTTTTTATCTGGGAAGCAACATCTTCCTTAGAATCCCCCAGAAGTCTTCCCTTTATGTCTTATCAGACAGTACTGGGTAATATGGCTACCCATGGCTGGCTGCAAGGGTGCCTGGGTCATTGAGTATCTGGCAAAGGAGAACAGAGGTGCTATGTTTGGCTAAGATGAATTGTGATTCTTTCTTTGAGGTTGGGCACGTTGCTGCCCAGAACAAAACTGAGATTCTGTTAGCAAGGAATTAGAAGGGAGTGGATATAGGGTAGGCATATAGGTGTCTACTAGGATCAGTTGTGGAAGCATAGAAAAAGAAGAATCTCAGAGGCCGAAATTGGCACAGCTCAATCTGGCACTGTACTGGAACAAGAATACCCTGATACAGGAACTCCAGTAGTTGAATCTTGAGATGGGTGTTTGCTATTGTGGAGATGGATACATCAGTCTCTCCTTATTCATTTATTTATTTAACAGACTTTTATTGTATCAGGTATTGTTGTAGTCTCTGGAATTGTAGCAGTGGAAAAATCAGACAAAATTCGTTGCCCCCATGGCGCTTACATTCTAGTGAATGCATCTTACCTGAATGCAACTGATTCCATGTTCACCAGTAAATTTTCTAATTGTAGTTGGGTTTCTCATGGCCCCCAAGCAGTCCCACATCTCATTATGAATTAAGAAATTGATATTCTTATTTCATATATCAGTCTCTTGGTTGATGTGAGTCCTCCTAGGGACACATTCACCTTTAGTGAAGTGACAAATCGTTTCTTTTTTAAATTATTATTTTATTGAGGTCACATTAGTTTATATCATCGTGTAAATTTCAGGGGTACATCATTATATTTCGACTTCTGTATAGAATGCATTGTGTTCACCATCAAAAATCTAGTTTCCCTCTGTCACCATACATGTATGCCCCTTTATCCCTTTTTCTCTCCTCCCACCCACTTCCACTCTGGTAACCATCAATCTGTTCTAAAATATGGAGCACTTCACACATTTGCATGTCATTCTTGTGCAGGGGCCATGCTAATCTTCTCTGTATTGTTCCAATTTTAGTATATCTGCTGCCAGAGTGAGCACACAAATCAATTTCTGACCTGCATATCTGAGGGTCAGTACCTGAACCAAGTTTAGTTCAACAAGGCATTTCAACCCTGTGAGCCATCATGGGAGACAGCCAGCCACACAGCTTTCTATGGTTAATACCCAATAGTGCATGTTTCCCCTATTTGGAAGTGTTTAAACTTATTCATATGTATGAAAGGGATACAAGAAGGAAATATTAAATTATAAGCATTTAAATCTATCCCAAAAAAGGAGAACTGACCTTGAAACTGTGACTTGTGAAATGTATTCTGAACTAATTGGATTAAAATTCATCCTTAGAGGAGTCAAGGTTAAAAAAATTTTCCAATTCGTGAACAATTAGATTGTTTCTTTCCTCCCCACCCCCCGCCATTTCAAACAATACTGCTATGAAGATTCTTGTATGTCATTGAGTATAAGAGCAATAATTTATAGGGTATTTGCCTAGGACTGGAATGCTGGGTCGGAGGGTATATGCATGTTCAACTTTATGAAATAGAGCCAAATTGCTCTCCAAAGTGATTATGCCAATTCACAATTTCCACTAGCAGCGAATGAGAATTCTTGGTGCTTTCCGTCCTCACCAGCAGTTGGTATTTTCAGACTTTTTGGTTTTTGCTTGTCTGATGGGTAAGAAATGGTATCTTGTTGCGGTTTGAATCTGATTAATGTGATATTGATCTTTTCATATATTTAATGGCCATTTATTTTTTTCTTCTACTTGAATTGCCATTTCGTGACTTTTTGATTTTCCATTTTTGATTGGCTTCTTTATTTTTTTGTACTCATTTGTAGTAACCCTTTTATATAATTAATTAAATTTTTTTTTTCTGAGAGAGATTTGCCCTGAGCTAACATCTGTGGCCAGTCCTCCTCTTTTTTTGCTTGAGGAAGATTAGCCCTGAGCTAACATCTGTGCCAATCTTCCTCTATTTTGTATTTGGGTTGCTGCCACAGCATGACTGACGAGTGGCGTAGTTCCTGGGCCGCCGAAGTGGAATGCGCCGAACTTAACCACTACAGTACAGGGCTGACCCCTATAATTAATTATCCTAATTCCCCACCCCTCTTTTTTGTTATTTTTGTTGGAAACATATACTAAATCTGTGTCTAGGATATTTTTCTTTGTTAATAGTGTCTTTGATCATATGGAAATTTCTCAATTTAAAGTAGTCAAATTTATCAATCCATTTGGAATGAAGACTATGTTATTGGGTACGAGCACGTTCAAAATTTTTATATTTTCATGGTGAATTTTTCCTAATCTCATGTTTGTGCTTCTGTATCTTTATAATAGTCTTTTATTTAAAGTCCATTTTTTATGAAATAAATACAGCTTTATTTTTGTAAGTATTTATCTGATATGTCTGTTCTCCTAATTTTGATTTTCAACCTTAGTGTATCATTGTCTTAGTGTCATACAAGGAACGGACCAGTAGGAGCAGTCTACTCTACCTGCAGAAATTAAGGGCCCTGTAGCCCCAGTACCAGCTTACATGCTTACCATTCTCATCTTGAATTTCATGCTTCCTTCAGTCCCCTCATCACTTACTGCTTCCATAGTGCACAGGACCAAGGGGTGGATAAGAATGATATGTATGTAAGGATCTAGCCAATAAATGAGACAGACTCAGACCACCTAAAAAGATCCAATGAAATAGTCATAAGTTCTGAATCTATTTTTGCCAAAACGCAAAAGAAAGAAGTAGAAATAGAGTTTCCTTGTTTACTGACTTGAGATAGAAAAGTGTCCTAGATTAGGAAAATTAGCATTAAGAGAGAGGGTTCTGAAATGACAAATTTCAAAATTATTTTGTTTGCAATATGTTGGGGAGCCATTTGATGATAACCCATCAATTAAGCTAGAACCATGTGTCATTACTTTATAATTTACCAAAGTAAAAATAACTATAGAAAACATTTGTCCATGGGGCCGGCCCAATGGCACAGTGATTAAATTCGCATGTTTTGCTTTGGTGGCCCAGGGTTCACTGGTTCGGATCCCGAGTGCGGACCTACACACCGCTTGTCAAGCCATGCTGTGGTAGGTGTCCCACATATAAAGTAGAGGAAAATGGGCACGGATGTTAGCTCAGGGCCAGTCTTCCTCAGCCAAAAAGAGGAAGATTGGCAGCAGATGTTAGCTCAAAGCTAATCTTCCTCAAAAAACAAGACAAAACAAAATAAAAACCAAACATTTGTCCACATGGGGAAACAAACTAGAAAAGGAGAAGTATTGGCCAAAGGTCTGGAAAATGCTGACTATGTACATGAGAAGGGAACTTGAGGATTACGATTTGAGGCCCCGTGATCATCTAGGTTTCTAGATGACTTCTCATTTCCCAGTTTGATTGCCCTGACTGCAAAATTCCCTGATTCCAGCAGTGATTGCTGTTGTATGTGGCTGGAAGCACGAGCCTACTTCCCCGGATTTCCCCGCATCATCAGTTTTACGGGGCAAGTCTGGGGTACAAGACTATGCCCTCTGGTGGAGAAGCACACCACTCATTGACATCTGGTAATAGCTATTGGGGGAATGCTTGCTAGCCATCGCTTGCTAGCCATTTTGATTTTGGGGAAAGTTACTTAAAGTCTCTAATCCCTGATTTCCTTATCTATAAAATGAGAATAATGGGAATATCCATCTCCTGTGGTTGTTGTGAGAATTAAATAAGATAATTGAGCAATAAGTGCTCAATAATACTATCCCTACTACCATTCCCTTGTTTGTGCAACAATTATTTATTGTGTATTTTTAACATGTTGGGCACTGAGATAAGTACTTAATACATGGTAGCTATCATACTGCTATTTAGTCATTTGGTTAATCCATATTATTATATAATTACAGTGTATCAGGCACTGTGCCAGGCAGAGGAGTCATGGCAGTAAGTAAGACAGAACCTTCAAGACTCTGGATAAGCTTTTCTGGTTCTACCAATGGGACTGTCTTCTCCCTTATGAGTTCTTTGGACTTCCATGATATCTTCTCTTCAATGAATGAGATCACTGTCAGATGCCTTCTTGCAATGTGCCAGGTTCTGGCTGACTATAGGATGGAAGGGGGACATAAAAATGTGAGAAAGCTTTGCCCCATATAAGCAGTAGGAGATAAGCTGCTCATGATGGGAGCTTTTCTTCTCCTTTCCAAAAGAACCTAGTGTACCAGGGGAAAAGTTCTGCTGAAGTACTAAGGGAAAAAAATTCTGCTGTAACAGGAGAAAAGAATACAGATGCAAAGCAACACAGACCAAAACATCCACTCCAGCCTTCTCGTGAGAGACCAGAAAATAGGGGACTTGTCTTTTCCCAGTCTGTAGGGAAAACCCAGCCCTTTGGACTTCTTCCTCTCCTTAGCCTTTAGTGGGGTGTCAGTCATCCAGTTCCTTCTGGATGAGACAGGCTGGGGGTAGAAAAGGATTGAGGATTTCGTTGGGCTCAAATCCTGCAAGTAAGTAGAAGAGGGAAGAAAAGAAAGAGGCCCTTATTGTGGTCTTCCCTCAAAGAGGATAAGCTACAAAAGCTCAGGCCTTTTCCGCTGCCAACATTCACATACTCTCATGCATTATAATGCTACAGAGCGTTGCTGCCTCTTTCCCTACTAAATGCCCTCTTCTGTTAATCAGGCTTTCGTGGAAGGTGCCAGACCCCAGGAATAGGAGTGGGAGGGGAAGGAAAAAACAACCCTTTATAACAATAAGAAAAAAAGTTATTTTTAATTTTAAAACATCTCAAAAGGTTTACATTAATGCGTGGATAATAGATTGATTAAATTAAATTTAGGATGCTGTGGACGGTGGCTTTTGAGGTTGACATTTATCACAGATTATGTTATTCTCCCATATAATAAATCATCCTTTTTTCACTGTGATGGACCCAATCTTTAATTGAATGGATTGCGAATATGATCTATAATGTGAATCGTTTTGTTTTTATGTTATGCTCTTATGGAAGATTCTTTAAACCCAGTCCAGCTGGTTTTTGAAGGCTGGGTTAAGAACAAACTAGCCTTTGAAGGTGGCAGCATTGCTTACATTTCTCTCCCTCCATTACTAGCCTGCTCAAGAGTTGATTTTCGTTATCCAATCAATTAAATCTTAAGTAGATAGAGAATTAACTATGTACCCAGACTTGAAATGTAAAAAATGACCCCTGCCTTTAAGAAGCTTATAATATCGTTGGAGTACCACAACGGACCCTTCAAATAACTAAAGAAATGATACAAGGCAAAGTATAATCAAGTGACAAATTGTCAGATCTAGACTTAGTGAAATAGAAATTTAGAGATAGTAAAAGTTAATAATGATTACAGAGGTCAGGAAATCTTCTTAAAAGAAGTAGGACTTCAGTTAGGCCCTGCAAATCCATGAAGGGAGGACGGTGCTCAATGAAGGGAGTACAATGTGAACAGACCAGAGAAAGAAACCAAAAAGATCAGAGCCTCAGTTTCCTCATCTGTGAATGAGTCAGGAAGCCAGACATGAGCCCCTGTGCGGCAGGAACTGTTGTTTTCAGTCTGTGGCTCCAGCAGCAAGCAGAGTTCCTCTCACAGAGTAGGCACTGGATATGTGTGTCTTGACTTGAACAAACATGACATATGAGGAGATGGTTGGAGATCTGTCGGCCCAGGGACAAAGTTCGTGTTAGCAAGCAGTGACTCTCCCCTCATGAGCTGGGGCTCCTCTCAGAACTTTTCTGAGAGAGGCGCATTACTTCTCGCAGGGGGTGGAGCTAAGTCATCTGAGAATGCGGCAACAAGGGATGTGTTGCTTAAGCAACTTACTTCTGCTGAGGACACGTAGCCCTGTTGCCTCCAGCCCTGGTTGCTAGTCATGGTGACACCGCTAGGTCACTCAGGGAACTCACCTGCCGGGAAATGAGCAACTAGGCCACTGATACAGTGGTACCTGGACAGCTTCCATGGGTGCCTTTAATTAAAATGACATTTTAATTAGCCAAGTATGTATGATAATATGAGACAGAAGGACAACTAA